GCCGCCCGGAGTCCTTTGGGATTGGGCGGCCTAGAAATTCAATAAATGAAATGAAATGCTAAAATTAGCTCCTGTGCTGCCCAGACAAGCCATTAGCAAAGGCAGGATTTTTTTTAATAGATGATGGTATAAAGTGTAAATACAAAAAGCAGGGAACAAAAAGGACAATTTTCTCAACAACAAATATTTCAGGAATTATGCGAAACTAGCAAGCTCATCCTTCTGGTTAAAAAAGTGGTTTTAAACAAAAGAATGGAAGAATAGAATACAGGTAATCCTTGACTTACAACAGTTCGCTTAGTGATCATTCCAAGTTATAACGGCACTGAAAAAATTGACTTATGACCATTTTTCATGCTTATGACCGTTGCAGCATCCCCATGGTCACATGATTCACATTCAGACGCTTGACAACTGACTCATTTATGATGGTTGCAGTGTCTTAGGGTCATGTGATCATGTTTTTGCAATCTTCTGATAAGCAAAGTCAAGGGGGAAGCCAGATTCACTTAACAACCATGTTACTAATTTAACAACTGCAGTGATTCGCTTAACAAATGTGGAAAGAAAAGTCATAAAATGGGGCAAAACTCATTTAACAAATTTCTCACTTAGCAACATAAATTTGGGGCTCAGTTGTAGCTGTATGTTGAGGACTACCTGTAGATTAGAATAAAACTTGTCACACTAAGCATACATTAAAGGCTTTATTTAATAAAATTGTGAGGTTCTTTCATGGTTTTGATATTTAGATCCAATGTTAGTTATTAAAATGGTGTATTTATTTCTTGCCTCAGCCTATCCTCTGTGAAAGCATTAGTTTCTGTCAGGGGTTGATACAATATCATGATACAAATTCATTTATTATTTTAGGGGGTCACAGCATTGCGAAGTGTTAGAAAGAACCCTTGTCTTGGATGTATGTTTGCTAATACTTTGACTTGTTGCTAAATCCTCCCTTGCCATGAAAGTACCAACACTGGGTTTCCCATCATCCTCTGGGCTCTTCTGACAGCATATAATCAAGAAAACAAACACAATACAGTGGAGATATGCAACTGTTCTTTGTCTAGCAGCCATATTCTACTTTTAAGCTGTGCTGGAGCCAGGTTTCAACAAATCAGTAGATCAAAACGATTAAAATTTGAGTGTTACTCCAAGACCCCAATCAAGGAATAGCCCAACAAGCTAACAGTAAGCAACAGCCTAATCAAGGAACAACCAAGACCACTCTCACCAACACTGACAGGGCAAGCCACTAGAATATA